AGGAGATGGGGCTCGGGCTGCACAGGCTCCCTGGCCCATGGCTTTGTGGTCTTGGCCGTCCCTGGCAAACCCCTACCCAGCAAACTTCAACCCTGGTAACTTTTTGTAGCCCATCTGCCAAATATGTGGGACATTAGGAGAAAGGGTCCCAACCTACACCTTGGGCTCACCTCTCTGTCTGAAGCTGTTGTTCCTAACACATCCCTGAACTCTTGAGGGCTCAAGGATAGCTCCTTCTGGCAGTGGGTGCACGGGGACTGTTTCCCACTGCCCTGTGTGCTGCCCCTTCACCCCCTCCATCCTCACTGAGCTCTGCTTGCCTGGCAGGACGCGCTCACCAACCTGCTCCGACGGTCCCAGCTGCACTTTGTCCACTGCCTTGTGCCAGGACTGGGGACGGAGGGGACAGACCCTCAGCCCCCCACAGCACCTGAGGCAGCCCTGCTGGACATGCCCACCCTGAGAGCTCAGCTGGAGGGGACCCAGCTCCTGGATGCCCTTCGCCTGCACCGCATCGGTAGGGCCCTGCTCAGCCCCCACGCCTTGCTCTGCATCTGCCTCTCACCAGCCCCACTTCAGAAAGCCCCCAGGTTTTTGCTGCTGCTTTATTGCTGCAGCTCCAGTGGGGCTCCCCCATGCTCCCCTTGGAGCATCCATATATCAGGCTGGATCCATGTGTCAGGAGAGGGACCTGTGCAGGAGGCACATGTCCTGCAGGACACGAGGTCCTGGGGTGGCATCTGGTCACCTCAAGCACATCTCTGTTGTTTCTCTGCTCCCTCTGCTCTCCCCTCACTGCAGGCATTTCCAAGCTAAGGGCAGCTCCCCTGATCCCCACCTCCTGTGACACCTTTTGCTGCACCATGTGCAGGGCATGCCACGCTTCACAGCAGCCCTCACCAGTGGTTCCCTCCCTGGCATTTTGGTGTCCCACAGCCCCCAGCAATGTCTGCCTTTCCCCAGGGTACGCGGATCACCTGCTCCTGACTCAGTTCCGAAGGCGTTTCCAGGTCCTGGCTCCAGATGTCATGAAGAAGTACATCTCTGCCTATGAGATGCCAGATGAGAGCAAGGTGTGTGCTGGGCTGGGAGCCTCATGGAGGCTTTGCTGGGATCAGAGCTCTGCCAGCCCTCCCCAGCATGGCCAGGGCTCTCTGCCATGAGAAGCAATCCCTGGAGCTCCCTCCCAGTGGGGGACATTCCCTGTACCCTGCACCAGCCTGGATGTCCTCTCTCCAAATGGGCTGGATCATGGCAGCATCTCCCTGCCCCAGGACAGGAGCTGCTCTCAGTCCTGCCTCACTCGGACACTTGGGGTCATTGGTGTTACTTCTTTGGCTGCTCTAGGGTCAAGACCCGCAGAGCTGTGGGCTGCTGAGCTCCAGTGTCTCCCAACAGCTGTGGGTGGTGATCAGTTGTTGTAGGACCCACCACGGGTGGGAGTGCACATCTGGACAGTTGTTGAGCTTTGGTAGCAGGGCTGTCAGTGCAGGTCTGGGGGTTTCTTAAACACAAGGCTGTCTTCAGGAACTGAGGAGGAAGGAGAAAAGCTGTGCTGAGTGAGGCCCAGGGCAGCACCCAGCGCTTGCAGTGCTGCTGAGAAATGGTGATTGGGCTTGGGAGTCTGGGGGTCAGTCTGTACGGCCACCTCAGTGCTCCCAAC